GATTTCCATGGTTTTTTGTATTAGATTACTTATTGTACTCTGGTGCTCGGCCAAAACACGCAAAATAAACCTAATGGTTCATTATGTGCTCTGTCTGTTGTGTAGTGAAGCTGAAATAGGAACTTTCTGTTCACCCGGATAGTCATTTTGTAGCTAACTTAATTAATTCCCTCCGTTATGGCACACCCGTTGGTTATATAGGTCCCCATCAGCCCGGGGTATCCCGTAATTTACAATCGGCTGCTCAGCACCCAGACGTAGTTTCATCCTATCTGACCAAGGAGATCGCACTGGGTCGCGTAGCAGGCCCCTTTCAGTCTCCCCCACTTCCTAATCTCCAATGTCACCCGATGGGGGTAATACCTAAGAAACACTCTAACGAGTGGCAAACTATTTACCACTTATCCTATCCTGAGGGCGATAGTGAAGGGTTGAGGGGTGTTGAGGTCATCGCAGATGATTTTGTCGTTGTCAGTTATGGTGAATCGTGGCAGTCTGCAATTAAGGACCATGACAGGAATCTTCTATCGTTTCTAAGGAGATGTGATGAGCGTGGTGTTTATTTGAACAGTGACAAGTTGCAGCTTAGAATGAAAGAAGTCCCTTGTATTGGTCATGTGGCTACTGGTAAAGGTCTTCATACAGATCCATCGTAAGTTCAGGTAATTCACGAGAAAATGCTTGGAGGGGACATATCTGTTCCTGTGCCCAGAAAAAATGAAGATATTAAAAAATCCTGAAAAATTGGCGAATTTACAAGGGAAGTTGAAGAGAAGTACACCCCTAGGCAAATGAAAGAACCTCTCATGAAATATGAGAGAACTAAACACTTCATGATCTGGGCAGACAATTCCACAATAATGAACCATGGACACATTATGTACCTTGTCCAGTGCCTGTATGATCCAGCCTTCTTCTTCACACCTGAAGAAATGAAGGCCAGATGCCATGAAAATGTTGTTGTACCATCTATCATTGACAGACCACATCTTTATATTCTGGGCAGATGTGGCTCTAAAGAAATTGAGCAGCTAGCATATGTGGACACAAGACAAGAATGCCTTGATCACCTTCCCCACCATGTAGAAACAAGCAAAGGGGAGAAAGTAAATGATGTTGTGAGATTTTTCCATTGAGATGGGCCTAAACAAGAGTTTGAAAGTGGAGAACAAAGGGGAGGAAATGCTGGTTGTATTTCTTGTAGTGGAGATGTAAGAAGGTATCGTGATCTGACATACAGCTTTCGCTGTCCATTACTGTCACTAGCTGATCGTGAACGCATAGTGCTGGCGGGTCGTGCAGGAAGGTAAAAAAGAAATGGGGGAATTAAACCATTTAAAGATTTGACAGTTGTAGAACTACAGAGAGAGTGTAGAGCTCGAGGGCTATCTGATGAAGGATTTAAGTAAGAGCTGCAGTCTACATTAAAAGAGCACCTTGGTGGAGTACAGAGGGTACAAGCAATGCTCCTGAATAACCAGTATTTTTGAATAATAAGTAATACATGTAAAAGAAAATCAAAATTATACTATTATATTATTACTATTATATGCATGTAAATACCGTATCTCTAAAAAATATGGAAAGCTGAAACAGAATGATATGAATACACCCTCATGAACCGCCAAGGCAATAATTTCCCTTTTTTTCTATTGTTTTTCTTTCAATCAGAATTCATGTGTAAACAATGTAAACTATTATGCAATCTAACTGCAGTCATTAATTTGTCCCTAACATTTAGTGTTCTAACTCATATACTTGCAAATGTACAATATTCCATTAATCACACCCCTGATTTCACATTGTCACTAATTCTTCTTTATCAACAAAGTTAGAGTCACATTTCTTAAATAGTATTTTAGATAAATATCGATCTGTAAATTCAGATTTTCCTCATATCCCTTTCTTTCTCCCACACAGGTTTTGTTAATGAAAAGGTGCAGTTCTTGTTAGACACCATGACAGAAATCGCCCATATTTTGTATGCCAAGGTACAGGAGCGATGCCACCAAAGTTTATTACGACTTCACAATCAAACTTTTCTCCGTGCTATTGCATGTGAGGAGATTATGAGGAAGCCCACGATACTCACTGAGAGAAAATTATATGATCGATACCTGCACTCTCTAGTATGTCATGCACCCATTGAACACCGCATCATCGCCTTAAGATCGACTAACACAGAATAAGCCTAGATACAAATATCGCGATATTTTTTGAGATATTTAGAAGTTTTTGAGAAATTTAGAAAAAAAAGTGATATTTAGAGCAATTATCACAAAAAAGATACTTCATAAGAACAAAAAAAACGGTTTATATTAATTTCGTGTCCTTTTACAAGGGTCGCTATGATGGTTAAGTCGTCTAAATAAGACGTCATGTTATTCTACGTGGTATATGTTTCATGGATGGTTAATTAAGCTGCGGTGCACCTTAGTTAGTCAGTTGTACCGCCTTCAATAGCTTCACCAAGTTGAACAGGCGAGTGAACAAGAACAAAGAGGAAGAGAAGATGAGGTTGTTTCAGTTTTGTCACGCCTACGACCACCTGTTGCAAGTGATTTATCTCGAAAAAGAAAATTGGTAACCAACCCTGGAAAAGGAAACCGAAGATCAAAGTCAAGTTCGCCCAATTTAACTGCAGCGAAAAGCGAGCCAAAATCAATCTCAGCTAAAGACAGAGCCAAAGAATTTAAAGATGAGCCATTCACCGCACAGGCAAATGGGGGACTTTTTCGCACAGCTTGTCGTGAGCTAGTTTCTCTGAAGAAACAGAATATACATGTTCATATTTCAAGCAAAAAACACAAGGAGAACAAAGAAAAGCGGTTGCTGAACGACAAGAAAGACGACGACATTAGAAAGGCCATTGCAAAGTATGACGATAAGAACCATCCAAAGGGAGAAACGCTTCCTTCTACTACAAGATTATTCAGGGTGAAATTTGTTAAAGCGTTCTTGAAGAGTGGTACACCTTTGAGCAGGGCAGGATATTTCAGAGATCTATTTGAGGAGGTGGGATATCCACTTACTCCAAGTTCGAACATGAGACAACTTATTCCTTTCATCCTCGAACAAGAATACGAATGCATTTGCCAAGAAGTGAAGGGAAAAGATGTTGGCATCATATTTGATGGAACTACGCGAGATGGGGAAGCATTAGTTGTTCTGGTTCGTTTTGTGGAATCATGGACAATAAAGCAGAGGCTTGTGAGATTGAGACTTTTAAAAACTTCTGTAAACGGTGACGAGCTAGCTCGCATAATAATCAAGGTGTCGCACAGAAAAATCAATACTCAAGAGAACAGTCTTTTAGCAGCGATGAGAGACAGAGCTTCTGTTAACACGAAAGCTCTGCAGACGGTGTCTGTGCTTTATCCTGATATGATTGATATTGGATGTATTTCACATTTCCTGAACAAAGTGGGAGAGAAATGCCACACACCAACACTCAAGCTATTTATGGCAACATGGAATCTCATATTCAGCACCAGTATTAGAGCTAGAAATATTTGGAGAGGCATAAGTGGACGGTCAATGCCAAGGTACAATTCCACAAGATGGTGGAGTTATTGGGAGTGTGCAATGGTAGTGCTTCAAGAATGGCAGCATATCAGAACTTTTCTAACGAGCAATGAAGATTTTGCAAAGACCTCAAGACAACGACTACTCCAGATATTTGATGTGGACACAAATAAGCTTAAGATTGAGCTAGCGTCAGTGATGGAAATGGAGGAATATTGTGAAGTCTACATACACCCTTGAAGGTGATGGAACATTGATTTTGATTGCCTATGAGAAGCTTCAAATGCTGCAGGCATTTATCAGAGTTCAACTTCCCTACTCTTACCGGTGTGGTACAGCAGCTGTTTCCTCTGAATGTTGCAGAACAGCAAAGATGGTACAACTATGGCTTTAGAGAATGCTTGATGCCAGCTTTTGAATACTATACCAACACATCAGCAAATGATGCCACAGTCTCGCGTTCTACCCAAGTGTTCCAAGCTGATCAGCTTTTTAGCCCGAAGTTTGTAAAAGTGTCAGAACCAGATGCTGAAACAGTAGATCAAATCGGAGCTGTCCCCTTTCTTAGCAACAATGAAGTCATTCAGTCTCTGAAAGATGAACTGCCAACCTACATTGTGAAGGCATCTCAAATTCCTGATGAATTTGATACTTTGTCAGATTCTTGGCCCTGGTGGAAGTCAGTAGCTCGAGAACTACCAGCGTGGTCTTCAGCGATACAGAAGCTAGTAGTTGTACAGCCATCATCTGCAGCAGCTGAAAGAGCTTTTTCCATGCTTACAACTATGTTTGGTGAACAACAACATGATGCGCTGGAAGATTACATTGAAACTTCTTTGATGCTGCGAGTAAATGATTGCTGAGATTATTTACATGTAAGTAAGAAGTATGGGGGGACTTATATATTTCAGTTGTTAGACTGATCATTATTATGTTATTAACAACATGCCTAGTTGCACGCAAAACTTTAATTGAAAAGTTGTTGTTTGAAATACATAACAGTCAGATAACACTGTCTTTTAAGGTGTTGTAATTCAATAAACTCTTTAACTGTTTATTGCTGTGTTCTGGAATCCGTGTTCTGGCAAAACAGAAATTGATGAAATCGAGTTGCTTAGATGTTTTTATTTACTTATTATACCTTAAAATAAACCAGCCCTGCAATATACATCTTTTGCTATTCAAATAATAATGTATATTTTTTTTCATTTCTTTAATTGATATAAAGCCAAAAATGGGTCAAATTAACATTAAAAAAAAATGATATTTCAGAGAAATTTAGAAGATTTTTTAAGAAATTTAGGAATTTTATTAGAATTTCTAGAAAGAAATTTAGAACATTTTTTGCGATGTTTGTATCTAGGCCTAACACAGAACAACAAGAGCGCCATGTCAACAGTCTTTCAAGCGTATCACTAGCAACTTCAAGTAGAAGATCTGGGGAGATCATCACACCTGGAATGATCAGAATGCAAGCAGAAATGAAGCAAGGGGAAAGAAATGCCATCCAGGAACAAGAATCACGACTGGGGGGGTTATCGAAATGCTTGCCAAAGGCTGAAAACAGCATCATTCCGCACAGAGTACTTCTGAAATATCCATATGCTTATCAAGCACATCTGGAACGTATTTCAGATTTTCTTCTTTGTGGTGAAGGAGCTTGGTGGAGAAATACTGTGAGTGGCATTGAATTTATTGATGTTAATACCCCAGATGAAGATCCACGAGGAGCTGAAACTGTTCCACTTTTACACCATTTCCGCAGTCACACACTTAAGTCAGAGAGCACATACCTACAAGACGAGTGGAATCTAGCGCGAAAGGCACGAAATATATATTTGCCACGCAAGCTATTTTTCCAAAATTCAAAATGGCTAGAAAAATTGAAGATAGGTCCATGTTTTGTCAAGCTGATGGACTGTCTCAGTCCATGGCAGATCGTGAGAGTGTACCACTTGCTGACGGTTGGCAAAACAAGGCTCATGACGCACGAAAAGACCACGTTACCAACAAACGTAGGTTTAGAAAGAATACACTACAAGAAGACAAAAGATCCATCAAATGACGAAGAAAGAAAAGTGTGCACGCATCAGATCCAAACTAGCGAAAGATATGGAAGATGTTCATATCCAGGAGATCAAAGAGTTAAAAATTTCCGAAATTGATGCAAAAAGGAAAGGCCATTTTTTATTGGAAAAAGTGGAAACAAACACAGAGTCTATCACAGTCGCACAGTGGCTGTTGCAGGTGATACTACGTAAAAAAAAAAAAAAACAAAGCAAACAAAAAACAAACAACAAAATCCTCCCACTCCTCCAAGAAGTAAAACAATGCAGGGAATATCTGGCAATTACAATTTTTTATATAGGGGGTAGCTTTGCAAAAGAGATTGAGTTAAGACTGATTTATTACCTTTTTTTTCACAATGGAGTTTTTCCGAAATATCTTATGGTGATACTATTTAGTCCCAAGAAAATCAACAAAGACCACTTGACAGATGCTACTAGCAATGGTGAAGTTCTTAGAGCTGGTGTTTTTGGCATTAGCTCAAAGAAAACCTACAGGGGAATAACAGTCGCTGTAAAGGAATTTAAGGAGAATGGTAGCCACTCTCTTGTTACTCATGAAGCATCTGTTCTTGCTAAAATGGAACATCCAGGTACTGCAGCTAGAGTAAAAGTCAGATATAAATAATTTCTTTCTTCTTATTTTAAAGACACTTATTTTCTTTTCCTTCTATCTTGTTTTATTTTGTTTCCTTAATTGCTATTTGCTATTGCTTACAGTAACTACAATTAAGTCTTTGAGATCTTATTAGTAGATCGTTTTTTCAATTGCAGGTTTCCCTCTGTTGTTTGGATGCTGCACTGAAACAAAACCCTACCTTCTTGTAACCCAGTTCCATGGGATAGAGGGTCACTGTGTGACATTTAAGTCTCTGGTGCTAAGAAATATCAATGACCCTCAAAGTGAATGGTGCCGAATTATGTATGAGTGTGCAGATGCCTTATACTATAATCATTCTAAAGAATACCTCCATAATTATTTAAAGGGTGACAATGTTATTATTAATGAAAACAGTCACAGTTTACACCCAGTAATTATAGATCTTGGTAAGTGTTCGACAATAGCTGGAGGAAAAATCTATCACCTTTCTCCAAGAGATCAGGAAAAGTATAGAAAGTATCATAAGCATGTAGCTCCTGAAGTTGTGAGATGAACTTACCCTCAGTCTACAGCTAGTGATATTTACGCATTTGGACTCTTACTGTCTTTACTGTGTAAGAATAAGCCTTATGAGCCTCTTCGCATGCTTGCTTTTGCCTGCATAAATGGTTCTCCAGAAAAGAGACCCTCAACACAGCAACTGGTAGCTGAATTGCTGAATTGCAGTCACCAATCTGGTATTGCAAGCTCCAAAAAATAAGCTTTTTAAGACCCAGCATGGGCTTCCAAAGGAATCGCCCAAGATTAAAATCACCCTCTGGGGTCTTCAGCACGCACACACAATATAAGAGTATGCTAACATAGGTCAGTGGACTAAAGCAAAGCACATGGCCACTTGCCTGAGTTGAGCAAAGCCTTCTGTCTTCAGTGTATCAGGACTGTCTTCAAGAGCCGGGGGCCAGGAATTTCCACCAGCTATTTTATATGAATATTACTCTTTGTGAAGTGAGCTCCCTGTATAAAGATTGTTATTATTATAAAAATAAAAGCGGGCAGTTTACGAAAACACTATCTTTCTTGCAATCACTTTGCTAAGGAAACAATTTGTTCGAGTTCACTTGTGTGAGAAAACTTTTATTCACTTTTTGATATCATGCCTTTTATTACCGATGTCAATGAGTTTCAAGCTCTTTTGAACTCTTTTTCCTCAACCTGTGACTGGGAAATGTTAACCGAATCCGTTTTAATTCTTGATGAGTGGATCCCAATAGCGTATGCTCGGCTGTCAGAACTCACAGCCCAAGAGCTACCAGTAAGTAATTTGTTCAGTCTCAGTTCTCTCCTGATATTTTTTGTTATTGGTTTAGTTTCCACATTAAATAAACGTGTGACTAAACTAAATTATTCCTGCAGATTGAAATCAATCAGGACCTGAGTAATGATGAAATCAACGAAGCTGATGAGCTCAACAATTTTGTAAGTATATTTTATCAGCAGTTTAAGTCAGTTCTAAGTTTAAATAGAAAACTGATCTTAATTATTCACCCTCGTTTACTCTAGAGGCCTGCAGAGGATGAGTTGATCGCTGATTTTTGAGTCTACTATCTACTCAACGATTCGGTAAGTTTTGCTTTTCCAAAACGACCTTGAGTAATTTTCTGTAACCGTCATTTAAGTTTGTTATGTTAATAGACATCACCTACATTTGCATTTGATCTATTGAACTAAATCGCGTGTCTTTTGTTTGAAACCAGCCATCAGTAACATTGATTTCCTGGCGTGGGTTCGCCAGCAAAGGCCCAGCAGTAAATGGGTGGTGGATTTGATTACAAACGTCACCTGGTTTGTGTGGAAAAACCGTGATCAACCCATCGGCCGAGGAACATTTTTTCCTTCATATATAGCTGAGAATCATGGTATTGCTGCTCTTGATCATAACCATCAAACAGGCAAACCCTATGAAGACAACCTGTGTTTTTTCCGCTGTCTGGCCGTCCATAACGGCTGCCATACAAAGAATTTAGAGAGAGACACTGTACTACTACCAACAATACTGAGACGCTGGGTTAGGAAAAAAGAAATTTCATGGAGTCAAGATAAGTGAGCTGGACGAACTGGAAAAATTTTACAAAGTCAATATACAAGTGTACAGTCTCGCGCCAACACAAACCCACAGTGAAGACAAAGACGATTAAGGAAATGATCCCAAGATTGCCGCTACACTCCTCCGTCGATCACACTGCCATTTTTCAAGCATGATGTACCTCAACCTCTACGAAAACCATTTTCCGTATATTAAAGATCTCGCCCGGTACTCAAAGTCCTTTTGTTGTTCCCGTTGTGGTAAATTCTGGAATTGGCGTCAAATTTAAGACAACACGAAAAGACCTGTGACAGCAAAGTTCAGCTGAAGTATCCAGGCAGCGCGTACCATGTACCTAAAACAGTGCTTCAAGAATTAGAAGAAGGAGGCACCATTGTCCCTGAAGCACGCTATTTTCCTTACAGAGCCACCATTGATTTTGAATGCTACTTCAACAAGGAGAACGCACTAGAACTGAGAAGCACACACAAATTGAACTGGGAATCTGCCCATGTCCCGCTCAGTGTGTCTGCAGTAACGTCCATGGTTATGAAACAACTAAATGTTTTTAAAGCGTACAAGTGTGAACCGACCAAAGGATTTTTCCCATACCAGTGGCTAGATTGTTTGGATAAATGAGAAGAAACATCGCTACTTCCTCACTCTGCCTTCTATTTATCCCTGAAGAACGCTAACATCACTGACGAAGAGTACGCCTATTGCCAGCAAGTATGGGAAGACAATGAAATGGTCACGTTTAAAGATTTCTTGGTTTGGTACAATAATCTGGATGTAGTACCTTTCCTAGACGCTTTAGAAAAAATGGGACAGCTCTGGCAAGAAAGAGAGATCGATATGTTTAAAGAAGGGATTTCTGTGCGTGGTCTGACCCTCAAGTACCTCTTTACGTTTCTGGGCAACCAAACATACTTCAGTCTCTTCGATCAAGCCAACAGTGACTTGTATCATCTCATTAAAGACAACAACACCAGCAGCCCAAGGATCATTTTCCATCGTTACCATTAAGCCAGCAAATATTGAGTGAATATTAAGCGAGGTGTGAAATGAGCGTTTGTTTGGGTCAAGAAGTGGATATTCGTGTACTAGATCATCTCAAAGAGAAGTTTAGTGAAATGTGCCCCATCTTCAAGAACACAGAAATCAGCCACGCTGATTTTGGAGACTTCATGCAAACTTATGCACCCCATCCGCTACACAAACTCTGAGAAACTTGGATAGTGAAATGATTAATATTTTACCCAGTTAAGATCTTGATGATGAGGAAAAAGCAAAGCTTTACAACCAAGTGTTGCTGTGGTACTTGACTTATTATGCTCAGAGAAAAGGTCAACCTCTCCATGTGAAAATATCAACTCCCAAAGCTATAGAAACACTTACACTCGAAGAGAATGAACAACCTGTGGAAGAACCTGCCCCAGAAAAATCTATTTCATCAGCCATAGAGCAAGAAGTCATCAAAAGTGTGCCCAAAATTTACAAAGCCGGGGCTAGACAGTCACGTTAACCAGACTTGAGGACAAGCTATAGATTGTAACTGACGGAGCAGTCAAGGACCCAGGAATAGGTGCTACTGTTTGTTTCTTCAATGCTAAGTTGCGGGGCTCACACGCAATGTGAGTACCAAGCAAGGTAGAAGCCCTCTCTATTGTGGCTGCTATGAAGCACTTCAGACAAAATCTTATACAGTCAACCAAGAAGGCCTACAGTACCGACAGTAAGCCTTGTGTTCAGGCATATGAGAAGCCCTGCCAAGGGGAGTTCTCTGCCAGCCCTTATGTATCCACTTTCTCGTCAGTTGCGAGCCGCTGTCAAGGTTTAGTCAGGCATGTCTGCGGCGCTGCTATCCTATGTGTCATTTCTTAAAGCCAAAATGCCTCAACCTGTGAAAACGAGACCTGTTAGGTGTGCTCCTTCATCACTTGAACCAGGGACTCTTCCAGTCACCAGTTGAAAATGGCCATTAAGTGCTATATATTTGCCCTCAATGTAGACAAGGCCGTCTCTCATGTCTCTGATGGATGCCACTCCTGCAGCAATGCCAAAGCTCTAAAACTGTATGAATTGACCAGTCCACTCCCCCACTACTTAATGCTATTGGTTGGTCCTTCACCACAGATGTCATAGAACATCCTACCTCATTTGCATCCAGACAAAGGCAGAGAGAAATTACTCGCATTTGGAGAGAGAAGCACTCGCCATAATCTTTGGTGTGCAGAAGTTTCATCAATACTTGTAGGGTGGACCAATTGCACTAGAAACTGACCACGAGCCCCCAGAGTCCTTTTAAGAAGACCTTATCGACATGGCTGCAGCTTGAAGCCAGTGATGGGCACTAACATTAGCTGCATATGATTTAAATTTTAGCGCTTGCCCAGTGGCCAATGCGAGTGTCAAAACTAGTGGGCAATTGGAATGCCAACTAGCTCTGCTATGAAGTGTGGGATTAGCCCTTAATCCTCTTACTTAACAATCTCGCTCAACCTTTATATATCCTGATGTGATTGTATGATAAATCAGTTGACCTTAGGCGTTGCTCATGTAATCTTGCTGAATCATTAAATTGTATGTCCTTGAATATATAAATCACACATGGTGTCAGATGCGGGATCCTACAGGAGGAAAAAGAGGTAGCAGAAAAGAAATTTGTTTCGCCACTTTGTTTCACTCGCACGAATGACATCCAATGCTCAAGATCCAAAGGAAGAAATAATCGAGGAATCAAGCATGCTAGTCATGTCACCGCCCACAGCCGCAGTGGAAACAAGTTCTTTAACGGGCTCAATACAGACAGAATACCCACAAAGTGAAAGCGTGAAAATGGCGGCAGCGCAGTTTCATATTCCTTCTCTGGCTAAGTTTGCTCCCAAAACATATGATGGGGACCACTGGATAAAGTGCTACCAGTTATTTGAAGCAGCTATATAACGGGATGGGCTGTCCAATAAGGTGCGCATTGACATGCTTATTTACGCACAGGGAAAAAATGCTGTCGACATTTACGATGCAAGTGTAAAACAAAAATTCAAGGATGATTCATTAATTCAGATGTACTGTCATCGGTTTTTAAAATGTGGAGATATTTTCTTGGAGTATCTACAATTCCCCACAAAAAAGATGCGTGTGAAGAATGTCAAACCCCCAGAAAGGCAGATTGACCCTTTTGTGACCTGGCAAGCCATTTCATAGAAGTTGTTGATGCTAACTCTAATGTTGCCACCGAAGTTCATGTCGTATTTGACCGCTAACATATCCTCTGCTTCAGGAAGGAATGTGCCAGAAACGTCTGGTTACATACAGAGCAGTGATATACAAGATTGCTGTCGATGCTGTTATTGGCAAGACAACTATGAAAGATCTTTTGAGCTCCAACCAGAATAAGGAGGCACGACTCATCGAGTGCTTAGTTTTGTGTCGTGACCATTTCTAGCATTTGTGGCATTAACATCATGGAAGCAAGTATAAATCTCGCATCTACATCTCGTGCGGGGTTGAAGAACTCTTCTTATTCTCGTGAATATAAACTCAAGGCTGTTCAAATTGCAGAAGACTGCAACAATTTGTGGGTTCACACTAGGCACTAAGTCTGTCTTAGCCTAAGGCAAGCCAAGTCACCCTAAGTCCGCTTAAGCGTTCAGACATATCTAGAAGACAAATTCTTTCCATGCAAAGCTGTCATCATTACCGTAACGATAAAAATAACAGATAAGGTAACTAACATCATAAATGTGGTGAGGTAGTCACGATCCATTTTAGCGAACAAGTACTCTAGTTTTACTCTGGCTCTTCGGCATTTTAGCGACATTAACGCTGACAACAGACAAATAATTTAAATGTTTCCAACTAGTCGGTTTATTGGAATGTTTTAGAATACAAGGAGGCACTTTCTTACTACCAAGATTTTGTTCAAGAGAGTGAAAGCCTGCTTTTTCTGACCGCCCTACTTTTATTTGAGCGTTCACCGAAGACGAGGTAATTTTCGGCACATAAGAAGAAGAACGTGGGCCTGGCCAAGACCGCAGAACTGGTTTGATGTAATGCTAGCATCACCTCGGCTGAATGTTCTTTGGAAACCAAACTTTCGAATGGAACGTGAAACGTTTGACAAGCTTTCTGTGTCTGCAGAGAAGCGTGTTGCTGTTGGTGTTTGGAGACTTTCCACGTCGCATAAGGTGAAAAGTCGGTAGCGTAATTGCCTTCTAACGTTTCGTCCTCTCGGCGATGCATCTTCAGTTCATTTTGTTCGTGAGAAGATATATGTGTCGTGATTTCTTTGCTTTTGGCGCCTATCATGGGAATCTCTATCTGATAAAACCCACGATTTTGAATTTTTTTTGCTATCAGGTTTCTTAAGTCAGCCTTAAGTCATGTTTGAAACAGACTTAAGAACTGCTTAGGTCGTTTGAGTTTGCCGACACTAAGACAGAAATCACGCTTCTGTGACTTAGCGGTTCACACCTGTCATTTTCGCTAAGTCGACTTAAGAGATTACTAAGTCAGACTTAGTGGTCTAATGTGAACCCAACTAATAACCGAAAAGTCGCAGCAAAGTTTTGTTGTTTGTTGAAGAAACTAGCAAAGGCTCCCACAGAAACTGCTTTGGAGAGAGCATTACAATCTCTACAGGAAAGTCAATACTGCAAGACCAACAGTGATCTGAGAGACTGGTTTGAAAAAAAGTGGCTTTGTGAGAACAAGGTGAATGAAAGGAAGATCTATTAATTATTTCACCATTACTTATATTTTATTATGAAATTAACCACTACACAAGAAGGCTTACATTATTATTTTAATATCCTTCTCCATAAGATGCCTCACTTATGCACTGTATTTTGTTCCTACTTATTAACCAAGAGATGGGTTTGGGCTTATCCCAAAGATCAATTTGACGAGGCAATCAATACCAATAATGACATCGAAAGACAGAACAGGTCATTCGAGTACGACTTCCTTGCTAACCAATGCGATACAAGCCTTTCAGGGATGCTCACAGTGCTGTGTAGCAGTACTGGACCACTGGGGAATTGAAGCAGTATAACCAACCACTTCCACAGTAGCTCCACAACCACCCACGTGCATTTGTTGACCATGTCAGAATGCGTCTGGACAGTTCTCTCAATGTACCCAAAGAAGATATTCAAGTCCTTCCAGACAAACCGCCAACATCTACAATTAAGACTGACAATCAGAAAATACTGCCATGTATACTTGCGTTCTTTCCTGCTTTGTGGGGTTTTTATTCCCAAGTATATGACCATTTTCTTACAAACCCGCATATATATGCGCACAAAAAAATGTTACAAACAATGATGTGTATATGGGGTCACAGAAAGTCATCGTATAAGAGGCACCAAATTATACCGTCAGAAAAAAACTCCTTCATGTCAATGGAACTGAAAAGTAACTTCAGTTTGAATCAAGCAAGGCCGCAATGGCTGTGTAACTTTCGAGCAAGGTTTGGTCTTATTCATTGCCCTCACAGTAGTGGTGGTTGTCGACTCCCCGACAACGGATTTCTTGGAATCCATGGATTTCTGTTGAGAGACTGTGTACGCTATTTCACAAATGCAGACCAAAAAGATCTGGAAAATTCAGAATCTGGTCCCGCCATGGATGAGGAATGCCTAAAGTGTGGAAAAAGGAACCACTTCATAGCGAAATGCAAATCCAAAGGAGTCAGAGAAGCTGGTTTAGATGACAGGGAATCCAGTGAAATGTACCAAACAGATGTAGCAGCCGTGAAACAACTGGCGACCCTGATTCACAACAATGAATCAAGGTGACCAGCTGATTCAAGACAATGGAACCATCCCACCTGTACAGCATACTCCATGTTGCATCGCAGTAGCCCTAAGGCCTAGGCTGATAGAGGCAATAGATGATCTAGCAGCACAAGGTGTCATTGCCCTGGTGACCACACCCACCAAGTGGATAAGCTCCATTGTTGCAGCCTCATAGAAAAATGTTTGACCCTAAGGATCTGAGTCACACGATACAAAGAGAGAATTATCAGCTTCCGATGGTTGAAGATATTGCAACAGCCTCCATGTAGCCAAGGTCTTCACACTAATGGATGTAAAAAATGGGTTCTCACAGAAAACCTCTATGAAGAGTCTTCAAACCTAACGACCTTCCAAATACCGTCTGGTTGTTATTGCTGGAGGCGCATGCCTTTTGGCATCTCGTCAGCTCCAAAGGTGTTTCAACGGAAGATATATGAGCCCAATGAAGGCATGTCGGGTAATGAGGTAGTGGTAGATGACTTAATTGCCATTGCATACAGTGACACTTTTCAGAAAGCAACTCAGGATCATGACAAAAATCTCCTACCTTTCCTCAAAAGATGCAAATTAAATGTCTGCCTCAATCTTGAAAAGCTTATGCTGCGAGTCTCAAGTACTTTTGCAGACAAGAGTGACAGAGAACAAAACAACATTTTTTTGTTGCAAGAACATGGAGATTTTGTAGCAGCGGTGAGAAAATGACAAATACTAAGGTCCACCTTTAGCACAACAGAAGCTCTAACCCTAATTTCTTTGTTTTCGCCAGGCCTCAAAAGTTTGTCACGAGGCATTTTGGAATGGCGAATTCCGTTGTTGAGTAGTTGACACTGGTGAGCTAAGTTGACACTGGTGATTTTAATCAGGTTTGTTTGATCAATCCGTTGTTTTCCAAGTTTGACCATTGTATGACTACTTTAAGGATGTTTAAAATTTCTTTTCCTGTTACCTTAGTGTGACTAATGAATGTCTGGTACAGTGTATGTATCCTAAAACACGTGCCCTACACATGGTGGCAAGTCTCTTACTGCCTACTGACTGACCTCCAAGCTATTATGACACTTTAAAGAAAGAAACTTGACTTTTCTGTTTAGATCTGCATTTTTAAAAAAGTATTTGATCAGCATGTTAATAGAGCTATACAATTTATTAAATCATTATTATTGTTATTGTAATTATATTATTATTATTATCAAAATCAAGATGTAACTGAGTGACCAATTTCAGTCTCTCAGTCTTTTCTTACACAAAATCAAACGGGTAGCAAGGCTTACAGTTATTGAAGACAGGTCTCTTAATTCTAACTTTATTGAGAAAATTGAGAAAATAAGGAGTATCTTAGACAATTGGTCAGCTAGAAGACTGACCCTCTTGACCCAATCATTAAAACTCTAGCCGTATTACAAATCGTCTACATATTGTCATCTCTTCCAACACCTCCTGACATACTCGCGACAATCAACTCTATATTGTACAATTTCCTTTGTCAGGGGGAGGGCGCGGCTACACGTAGGCTACCTTGACTAAGGTATGGGTTGTACTACCTTGTGGTAGAAATCTGTCATCGGTGGACATTGCTAAGAGCGACCTGAAGTTTTCAGGTTGGAAAAAAACTTTAAAAATCAGCAAAAACATCAGAAACGCCGTAGTGCTTGTGTGGGGCAGGGAGATTTTGGAAATCTCGAGCTAAACAATATAAGGAATGACAGCGGTAACAGTCAGCACTTGTCTGTCTTGTCGGTGAAACGTGATCAATTTGAAACATTATCAATCAGAAATAAACGTGGTCAAATGTTCAGACCATTCAGGACCCCTTTGATAACAGTGCTCTTGCACTGAAGGGCTATCCTGTATAAATATTCGTTATTATTATTATTATTATTATTATTGCGCTTTCGTGGACGGATGAGGGAACTACTATCCTTGGCCATTTTGAGGCTTTTACGCATCCGTTGCCTCCACCTGGTTTGGCTTCCGTCATGCAAGACTTAAAGTTGTAGTCCTTCAAGCTACAGTGGTTTCGAGATTTGGGTGCTTCGTTTTTGAGTTTTGGGTGCTTCGTTTTCGAGTCCTGGGTGCTTCGTTTTCGAGATTTGGTTGCTTCGTTTTCGAGATTTGGGTGCTTCGTGCTTTGGTCTTTGTTTTCGAAACTACCCTCTACAGCCTATCATGACCCAGCTCCAAAGGATCCAGTTGATACCCTTCTGTCTCACACCAAAGTTTCCAAGAAAATCTATGAATGTATAATGAACGAAAAAGCTTCTATACCATCAAGAAGTCAGGGAAAGTGGTTGGAAGAGAGATACATACATAGTAATCTTAGTATAATAGTAAACTGGGAAAATACGAACTGCCTATCATCTCTGTGTACAAGAGAGTCAAAGCGTAGAGCATTCCAATTTAAATTCCTTCACAGAAAAATCGCCACAGCAATAGTGAAAGACCTATTCTCATAGTTATAGGATCAGAGTGGCACAAACTAAACCAGGTTGCTAAATTTGCTTGCAACAAAGCTGGACATTGGAGGGCACAGTGTCCTCATACATGACAAAGTTTCCCAACAGTCAACGACTAGCTGCCAGCCTGCTGCAAGAGCTAGGATTGGACAGGATTTTTATACGCTAAATAAAGCTCCTCCCTATAGAAATATTTAAGGTTCACAACAATATGGCACCTGAATACCTATGCCAAAAAGTTTTGAAAATGAGGTCCACCTCTGATACTAGGGGCTCATCGTCTCCTCTTTTAATTGCCTCTTCCCAAACACAGGTTTTGGCTACAGGGACGCATTTAATTGCAAAATATTATGCAAGGACTGCGTAAATGCAAGTCAATGAACTTATTTAAATCTAAATTGGACTGCTTGCTTCCTAGCTTCTTTCATTCCTCACTATAATCAAGAGGAAGCCACTTGGAGTGGACGGCTTCCCTGTGCATTTTTTCAGTCCCTGCCCTCTGGAATTCCTCTCCCACAGCCCATCATAATGATGCCATACTCCATTCACCAAAACAACCCCTCTGTAGTGCCCTCCACTCCAAAATGTCAATCCAAAAAGAAGGTACCTCCAAATGGCAGGGGAGAGAATGAAATATTGGAGTTCATTGCGTGATTGCGAACTCTGGTGCAGAAAAGAACGATCCAAGTGCACCAACCTATTGTTGGAAACGGCAAAAAGTCCCACGATCGACAGTTGGACACCCTATTACCCGAACCAAAGTCCATACAGTATCCTGAAAATCGCCAGATCACGGTATCCACACAAAGCGGCCTCAGAAGAAGATGGGGTTCAACCACAAAAAAGTCAATATGCACACCTGTGCAAGTTTTTGGAAAGATGCCAAGATGCACTGGCACTGGCAAATAAAAATGAGGCAAATTGTCAACAAGAAATTCAAAAGACCTTAAAAGGGACAACAATAAGAGATGGTATTTCTTCTATTTAAGCTCATAATTATTTAGTAATAATTTAATGTATGCATCAAACTATAGCTCAATCAATAGATCATTTTCAAGTGACGTCATGGCGGCCATATTGGTATACAAGAACAATAGATTTTCTCTCTGTTGGGAACTTATCTCCACTGTATGCAAATTCTGCACAAACATTTTGTACTGTTTTGTAAACTAACATGGCCGCCTTGTCACATAAGTGAAAACCATCTGTAAATCAAAGAATTTATTAAACTTGTCGGTGGTATCTAGCCGAGGGTAGAACCCTCTACTAATTGAGGACACGAAAACGAATAAATTACAACTAATAGAGTATATTGAAAATAATGGTATGAGACCAGACCCCTCACTGATCTCAACAATAATATAGGCCATATCCGTATCTTTTTAACCACTTTTATACAATCTTTTTATAGGTCTCCAAGAGCAAAAAAATTTTACAAGGAATTACTAAGAGATTTTCAACACCTATGAGGTTTTAGTGGAGCAGTGCAGGAAGAGATTTGGTAGTAGTGTTGCTGAGCAACAGTGCAAAAGGAAAAAGAAGAGGAATGCACAGAAGGAACTAAAAAGGAAAGCAAAATAAGGGCAAAGAACAAGTACATGTACCAACTTACAGTGAGAAAGAACCAAACAAGGAGGAAGAAGAGAGATCAGTCATAGATGAGTGGTCTACCGAAGAAGAAATTGAAGACTAAAACAATACAATATACAGTTGCACTCATTATTTTGGCTTTATAGTAATTATTGGGTGATAAGTAGTTATTCTGGATCATTAAATGTTTTTATGATATTTATTATAATGCAATATACACTGTATGTTGCAGATAGACTGGCTGCCAATGAAACCCATACTTTGTGGTTCTTAATTTTTGTTAAAAGTACCAGTGGCAGTGTTGCTGTTTATGTTGTTGACTAGTTAATGTTGGTAACAGTTAAAGTGGGCACAAATAATTTTATAGAATATTAACAAAGCTAGGTTTAAGATTATAAATAAATAATGTTTAAAATAAAATAATAAAAATAATATTATGTCATATGTCACATACAACATCCATGTGATCGACGTTAAATTTTGTTTTTGTTCCAAGATTAACAGACCTTTCAATGAGAAGAAAGTGAATTTTGTTTATTCATATTGTGCCTAATAATATTGATTTCTGAAACTCATACTTTCTGAAAAAGTCACAATTGGACCTTCCTTCTGCATGAATTTTTTTCTTTACCTTCTTCTTTGCATTTCCCCTTGCATGAATTTTTTTTTGTTTTTTTCCCCACCCTCCCCATCACTTTTCTAATGGTCCGTTCCTAAGCATATCTGTCTGATCTCGTTAAAACGTGGCCACTGGGTTTTCGCCTGGCGCAGGGCACAGCCCAGCTCCAGGCCAGCCCGGTGTCCAAAAAAGTAGAGGGCTTGACGTCTTGGTCGGTACAGCTGGATAGCCCAGGGACTGCCCTAACAGTGGGTGGGTGGATCAGGCCTTGGGTTCAACCAACCCTTCAGTAAGCAGCAGTGTTCAGAGGAGACTGGCTAGCGAGTACCTTGGTGTTAATTTGCCCTAGCCAGCTGAATCAGGCCTCTGTTGAGAATGATTATCATGATAATTGCAGAGCTCAGTGGGAGGTGCAAACAGTCAACCACTGTCCTGGGTGGGGAGGGTCAAAGTCTTGGTACCAAGGACACACTTAGCATAGGACCTTTAGACACTCACTGAAGCCATGTTTTCATAAATCCAGTCAGATTTATATTCAGGCAAATGCCCGGTCATTTTGCTACCTGAGTCAACCCAGGAAAGCACAGGGAATCCCCAACACCGGCAACTACAAACAGAGAACATTGCATGAGAATTTTTTGCACCAAAGTTTTTTTCCAAAGTTCAAAACAACTGAAACAGTTACTTCAAAAACTAAAACATGACCAACAGGGCATCACTTAAATGAGTGAGAAGAAAGGAAGTAAAGAATCTTATCAAAAAAAAGGTTTTGTCATCGGGAAGCTGTTGAAAGAATGTTCAAGTCCCTCGCTGTAGAGACTGATGATGACTTAGCTTTTGAAAATCATTGAAATGCTCTCGCAAAAAAAGCAGAAGTATCAGTCCATGCTTAAAGAGAGACCATAAAGAATACATATTACAATGTTCTCATCAAACCAGCTCTTTTATACGGCTTTAACATTTGGACAACCGCATCTAAGGAGCACCTGAACAACATTTTTTGACTACAGAAAAGAGGATCATCTTGGACACAAAACAATGCACAATGATGCACAATGATGCACATTGATTCGCGAGAGAACACAAAACACCTGAATACCAGGACTATGCTTCAACTGAATTCTGATGTCTACTCCAGAATACACGTTTCACCAAACTAAACCTATGCTGCCCCATATACAACAACTACTGAAGGGGGTGAACATTCTCATTTAGATCAATTGAAGACTGGAATAACATGGAGAAAGCGCACATAAACTCTAAGGACACAAAAAGTTTCGGAGTCTAAAAAACCCTCTTTTAGAAAGACAAAGAAAGTAACAAATTTGACAAGCCATTTAAGATTTTTTATTAATTAAAATAAACTATTGTTTATTAATTTACTTTTTAGAATAACACTTAATGGTATTGTATATATTATAGAGAGAGATATATTTTCTGAACTGGTTAGAATAATTATTCTAGAGTGCTCAACTTTTCAGGAGCAAAAAATGCCAAATTGATATCTTATGGTATTGTCCCAAAGACACATTTTCTCACAAACACTACCATTGAAGAGGAGCAGTGTACAGTACCTGTTGTGACTCAGAAAATACAAAATGTTATTGCTGCCCGTTCCATTCCTGTTGATAAAGTAATGAGTTTTCGAAGTGATGGGGCATCCATCATGACAGTTGGGGGAGTGAGCACACTTCTCAAGAAAGAGAACCCATTTATGATAAATATTCATTGTATGGCTCACCGTTTGGCATTGTGTACTAGCCAAGCTGCCAATCAAGTAGGAAAAATTGAGAAGTACGGACAATTGTTAACAGACCTGTACTATTACTTCTCTAAATCTGCAAAACGTGTTGCTGGGCTAAAGGCTATTCAAGAAATACTAGAGAGCCCACCGTTGAAGATAAAGGAGATGCATTCAGTTCGGTGGTTTGCTTTCTATAGTGCCCTAGAAACTGTTTACAGGTCATGGGACGCCCTTGTAACCTATTTTGCTAACCACAAGAATGATGCAAAGGCCGTAGGTTTTCTCAAGAAATTAACTCAGGTTGAGAATGTGGCAAACAGCATATTTCAGAAAGAGGATCTAGATGTTTCAATCATCCAGGCGTGCATTTCCACCACCCTTAGTGAAATTGCCAAAGTGAACGAGGGAAGTGGCTACTATACAAAGAAACTTGATGAGTCTTTGAAACAGGATGAGTCTGGGAAGTGGCATATGGGTACTGGTGGCCATGAAATTTCATATTCAGAAACTCAAAAAGCTCAGGCTTTCAAAAGCAGAGATGCTTTTATTGACAATCTCACCGAGCAGATAACTGCTAGATTTCCTCAGGAATCACAGGATCTTGCCGATGCATTTGCAATCTTAAGTCTGGGAGGAGTGTCTTTCATGACAGCTGAAGACCTTTCGCATTATGGAAATAATAAGTTACTGAAACTGTTGAATCACTATGGATCAGACAACGCAAATGTGGTCAGAAGAAGAGTAATTCCTGCTGTAGTTGATCCTATGAAAACCAAGATGGAATGGTCTTTATTAAAAGATGTTGTTAAGGAGCAGCAGTACCCAACTGGCAAGTTATCCATGCTGTGGAGTTGTATTTTCAAGTTTCATCCAGACACTTTTCCAAATTTGCTGAAGTTGGAACAGCTGGCCCTCACTCTTCCACTACAAACAGCCGATGTTGAGAGAGGATTTAGTGCTCAAAACTTAATTAAGACGGCCCACAGATATCGAATGGAGGAAAACACAGTTGACAATCTCATGACAATTAGTGTAGAGGGGCCTGAAGTTGAGAGGTTTGACTTTAAACAGAGCTGTTTTCTCATGGAAAAGAAAAAAGGAAAGGAGAATTTTCAAGAAATGAGCTTTAAACTTGTTACTGCAAGGGTAGCAGCCCATCCCTCCTTTTAAAGTTTTAAAGCAATTTTCTCTTCCATTGAAGCAATGAATAAAAACTGTTAAGCTTTGCTTTGACTTCGTCCAAATTAAAAACCAACATAACTTTAGGCTGTTCCTGTCTGGAAAAGAAATGCAAAAATTCTGTTTCATCTGGTTTCTGTTCAGTGTTGAGACAGTTTAACTCAAGGCTGTGTACCTACTGGAAACCCACAGATACTGATGCAGTACTTGTTTCCCATCTTTTAAACAAAAGCTGTAAACTCAAAGAGCGGAAGAATGCTGTAACACATAGAAGAACAGATAACACACAATAATTGTTTATTATATTACTTTCTATTCCATTTCTAAGATGAAAGTTAAAAAAATTGATCTTTTGAAGAAGGCAAATACATTTGTTAATGAATAACCTTGCTCTTCTCTAAAAACAGACTTTAATTAAGTTGTTCCTTTTTTTGATGATAACAATACTGTACTAAAGTGATTCAATACCCAGTTTTGTTTTTTATATTAAATAGGATACAAATTTAGTGTTCCTTAAAAAACTGAAATGTCCCCCTGAAAATTGTTGACTGGGACACACTGTCCCCCTCAATGGAAATCCTAGATCAGACACTGTTAGTGTCAAACATTTTGCAATGTTTGAATGAAAGGAGCATACTTATGTCCTTCTAAACCATAAGACTTCCTTGAGCCCTATGTTTTGTAACTGCTGTGCACATATTTATCCTACAATTTTATCTTCCAGGTTATAATTCCCTTTTAGATTTTATTCCCATTTGGATTCCTCTATAAAGACTTTCTTGTTTATTTTATGTTCATGTTTCTCAAAACTATTTGGGTTACACTTCCTTCTTCGTTCTTTCCTTCTGTGCCGTCTAGGTACATGTATTTTTTGACAGTTTTTTTCCCATTCTGCAGTCACCAATCTTTACAGCGTTAGTTTTTTGGCCATCAATTTTTGGAAAACATGAATCTTGCACTCTGTCACGAGAAGCACCACAGGTAGCCCAAGCTCACTATGAGAACTCTGAGCAACATTGTGCATTAGCTAATTAATTATTCGTATGGCAACGATTATAAGGCGTTGTATGAGAATTATCCTATTTCTCCATAATTGAGCGAAACGTGCTTTAAATTGTTCCTTTTAAGCTCGCATTTAGTATTTTATTATGTTTATTTGTGTGTTGACTGTGTTTCAGGCCTCTTAGGATATACTGAGAACAACACTACCCTTCTAGGCTAATTAATTATTCATTCAACAAGAAAATTACAAGACGTTGTATGAGAAATATTCTTTGCTCACTAAATTAATAAAGTGTGCATTGAATGTCGCCTTGAAGCTATACCTTTAGCCTTTTCTTGTTTTTCTTTGTGTTCTCACTGCATTGCAGACCTCCTAGGCACTGTTTAATACCTCTTTGAGTGACAGTTTTCCCCCAGATGACAGTAGAGGAAAGAGAAGAGAAGGTTGGCAAACTTCTCTTGACGGCTCCGCTCTCGGCGGCGATAAATTCTGTGACTTTTGCGACATGGAGACAATTCTGCCAGAACCAAATGTCCTGATAGAAAATGCACATTTTCCATCATTCACATCACCAAAATTTCCATTTTGAAGGTCCTAAATCGCCGACGAAGTGGACAATTCACAGCCATGGCTAGGCGAGTCGAGAGCAGACCTGCAACGCACTCCAAAAATCAAGTCGACAATTTCAAACCGACACGGGCTGGCAGGGTCAAATTGTTCTGAAAAGAGACCCTTGTCATTCTTGTTTCGGGTGAAGATGCCCATACAACACGTTCTGACCACTAGAAACCTGACCGCCCTGTCGTAATTCAGAACCTGGTCATGACCTTGGAGCAGATGAACATCTATTCATTGCAGTTACGTTTGTCTGGTATTCTTAGAGGGGGCTGTTAGGCCTTCTTTCAGACGTTTGAGCAGATGCTGATTAACCTCCAGTTTACACAAAGCAACCTTCAGTTTTTCCCCTCTTAAGATACCTTGATTAACTAGGTCTTCAAAAATATTGGTGCTCACACTGTCTTTCACAGTGAATTTGCTGGTCTGTGGTAAACCGCGAAGAATTTAGGACTGGGTAACACAATTGATAAAGAATCAGTTAAAGTTCGTTTCTTTATTTGCTCTCTCAGTGGCTAAACTTAACAATAAGATCTTTGAGAATACTGGTTGTATCACGGAAAAAGACCAAGAGGGCGCTAATACCAAAGCCAGAACTGGCCGGTATGACTGCTGGCCATTGTGAAATAAAAATATTTTCGGGAGATTATTCAAAATTAAAAACCTATCATGAATATCACTGCCGTAAACACTGTTCAGAAATATGCTAAGCTGGCTGGGTAGTTTAGGTCATTCTCTACAGTAATCTTTAAGATTATACCAGTCCGGCCTAATAAAATCTCATTAAAAAAAACTTCTTTAAGAATAAGTACGCCTAAAATAGGCAGGGTGCTTAGGAAAATTGCTTATTAAACTCAACTTCAACTCATAACAGTAAAATTATTGGATAATATATATACAAGATCCATTAAAAAAGAAAAGTGTTTCTCAATGTTTAATTGTAAAGGGAATTAATGGTCTTTAATTAACTTAATCAACAGAGAAACAAAGCAGCAGAAAAACTGAAAGCATAGCTATTAAAACCAGAGTCAACGGAAAGGACAGACTGCAAAGTAAGTAAAAATGTTTTGATTTAAAACTACAAAAAAACGGTAACTGGTTAAGACATTGAGTCCACTTGCATAATTTTTGCCCTATCAAGACATCCTTCGTGAGAAGAGACTACACAATATGCATGCTTAAAATGTCACCGACGTATCACATCTATTAAGAACCAGTAGGGTTTTGGAAATTGGTGTGTGTTAATCTTTGGTTTTGTATTCAGTTTTTGGTTTCAATCAAAATGCACCGGGGTTTTTCACTTTTAGGTGCTTTTTTGAGCCGTTTTTCGGTTTCTTATAGTTCCCAATCCCCCCTAATTGCGATGCCGTGATTTCTGTAAGACACAAAAATTTCTTCACAGTGAAGAAAAAATCATAAAAGCCATGCCTACTTTAAAAAAAACTAAACTAAACTTGAAAAAACTGTAGTTTCATGTGCTTATTAGTAATACAGCAGATATTTTTTTAATGTCATAGATCACCACCTTGGTCATTTACAACGGAAAAATTTGAGTCATACTCAAATGATAATAATAATAATAACTTTATTACTGTGAAGATGAAATAATCAACATGTCACGAGCGTGGGACGAAGAAAAAAATCTAAGTCCCTAACAGGATTCGAACCTATGACCTCACAAACACCCGGCGGGCACTCTATCCAATGGGTAACGGAGAACTCATGGAGAGCGAGGCCATATACTAAGTTCATATTTGACATGTGTCCTGCTAACTGCTAGGATCAGCAATGTCAAGATCACACTTTATGGTTTCATATTTGCTAGGATCAGCAATGTAGAGTTTGTGCTTTATGGTGAAGAATGAAAGATGGTAAATTTTAAGCTCGGTGAACAAATGTGAAGATGAAGTAATCAGCATGTCACGAGCGTGGGACAAAGAAAAAAATCTGAGTCCTCAACAGGATTCGAACCTATGACCTCCCAAACACCGGGCGGGCGCTCTATCCACTGAGAACTCATGGAGGATGAGGCCACATACTGGGTTCATATTTGACATGCTTCCTGCAAACTGCTAGGATCAGCAATGTCAAGATCATACTTTATGGTTGAAGATTGAAAGATGGAAAATTTTTAAGCTGGGTGAACAAATGTGAAGATTAAAATTTAATCTTAATTAATCAGCATGTCACAAGCATGGGACAAAGAAAAATAATCTAAGTCCCCGACAGGATTCAAACCTAATATATAGATTTAGCCAGGGATAAAGGCGAAGCTCCCATTAATAAATTTATGATTTAAATCGAACAATAAAGTTGTCATTTACAAATCAGTTAACTTAATGTGACTTTTGAGGGAAAGGCTAAGTGATTTTAGAGTGAAACATCTTACATTGAGTTGGTAGCCTTATATGTACACCCAAAAAATGGCAATCACCTTCGATCACAATCAATGGCTCTTGATCACAGTAGATTAGGCCTGGAAAACAAATTATTGCAAAAAATCAGGCCGAATTTTTTGCTTTCAACAAGTCTACTTTACAAAATCTTGCCAACAAATCTGGGGGTGTGTAAACCAACCTTTTCTACTTTTTATAAATCACAGCTGAGGTGAAACAGTACTATTTATCTACAGACCTCGGACAGAATGCAGTATTTCACAATTTTTCAAGACAAATTGCACTCAGTCAATATTCAGGACGATCAATGGTGGGCTTTTAGCAAAACCATTCAAAAAATTTCCAAAATCACCTATACGGCCAGCCAGTTCTCACTTTCGACAAGCGCCAAATTTGTAGTGAACATTAATAGAGTTACGCTTCATCATAATAGAGAATTTACTACATTTATTTTTTTATTTAATGGTTTTAAAACGATGTGTATAATCTCACAAAGGGTTTTATACGCAGAGCAT